AACAAATAATAAATATAGCCGCAAGAGTCGAGGAAGAAGTAGGCGAAATACCAGGCAAGGACTGGGAGTATAGTGAGCTGTTACATCTAATGACGAAGGAGATAGGGAAAGAGAAGAAAACTGTTTGCTGGAAAGGAAAAAGGAAGCCAAAAAGTTGGTGGAACAAGGAAATCCGGGAGGCGATCGAGAAGCGACGCGAAGCATCACGGGAGCATAGAAAGGCAAAAAAGGACAAGCGGCCGCAGGACGAAGTCAAAAAAATATGGGAAATATATTTAGAGAAAAAATCCCATGTACAGAAATTGGTAGAGGCAAAAATTAAAGGTGAAAGTGAACGCTGGATGACAGAGATACACGAAAAAAAGGAGGCCGCGCCTAGGATTTTTTGGAGCCACATAAAGGCGCTAGGTAGGAAGTCTGTCACAACGCAACAACATATTCTAGATGAAGGAGGAAATCAATTGGAAGGGTACGAAGCGCTAGGTTACATCCAAAAGGTAACAGCCGATTCGTTTCAAAAGAGCGTCCAGGGGATCTCCCCGGTGAGTAAAAGTGTGGCGGAGAAAGCAACAGAGGAAGAGCTAGTACTTGATAATTTCAACTGGAAAAAGGCCGAAGGAAAAATTCCAAAGCGCACTGCCGCGGGTTTAGATGGGATTCCCGTTAGCCTCATTAACGAACTAGGACATAACACTAAAGAAGCATTGTTAAAAGCAGTAAAAAAAAGCTTAAAGGACGGACAAATACCGGACAGTTGGCGACAAAGTAGAATGAACTTAATCTATAAAGGCAAGGGAGAAAAGGACAAGATTCGCTCGTATAGACTACTAACCATTACATCGGTACTATACAGGTTGGCGATGCAAGCAGTAAAAATGAAAATAGAAACATGGGCCGAACATAACGATATTTTGGGAGAACTTCAGAACGGATTTCGAGTCGACAGGCGGTTAGACGATAACCTGTTTGTTCTCACTCAGTGTATAGAAATATCTAAAATAGAGAATAGGCCCTTGTACGTGGCTTTTCTAGACATCACTGGGGCATACGACAACGTTAATCAGGAAATTTTGTGGGATATATTGAAAGGAATGGACATGGGCGACGACTGTATACAGCTTTTGAGGGAGATATACCGAGAAAATACAGTTTGCATAGAGTGGGAGGGAATGCGTAGCAAAGAGAATGTTGAGGTTAGCAGGGGTCTGAGACAGGGATGTCCTTTGTCCCCGCTGTTATTCATGCGGTACATGGTGAGTATGGAAAAAGCGCTAGAAGGTAGCAACATTGGTTTTAATCTGTCACACAAACAGGGCGGCATGATGATTGAGCAGAAGCTTCCAGGTTTATTTTATGCGGACGATATCGTCTTATTTGCGGACAGTCGAGATGATATACAGCAGCTGGCGAATATATGCGGAAGGGAAGGTGAAGCTCTTGGACTAGGATTCAGTGTAACGAAGTGTGGATTGATGGTATTCAATGATCCCTGCGATCAGACGGTGTCCATACAAGGCCAAGAAATACCGAGGGTAAGTGAATACAAGTACCTTGGAGTATGGGTAAATGAGAGTTATAGATACATGGAGGTACAGGAAAAAGCCTCGGCAGCAAAAGGAAAGAGGAATGTGGCAATAATCAAGCACAGAGCGTTGTGGGGATACAATAGGTATGAGGTGCTTCGAGGTCTGTGGAAGGGTGTAATGGTTCCAGGGCTTACTTTTGGGAACTCAGTGGTGTGCATGAGGGCAGAGGTGCAATCGGGAATGGATGTAAATCAAAGGACTGTGGGACGCCTCGCGTTGGGTGCTCACGGGAAGACGACAAACGAGGCTGTAAAGGGCGATATGGGGTGGGCAGGTTTTGAGGCGAGGGAAGCGCAGAGCAAAATAAGGTTCGAAGAAAGGCTAAGAAATATGAAGGAGAGTAGATGGGCAAAGAAGGTGTTCCGTTATTTGTATAGGAAGAGCGTGGACACACAGTGGAGAAAAAGAACTAGAAGACTCACTAGTAAATATACGGCTGGTATTGTGAGCCATATGTCAACAAAGAGCGTTAAGGGAAAAGTCAGGGAGGCGGAGAGGATTTACTGGATGGCAGCTATGGAGAAAAAACCGGCTTTGAGTAACTACCGAAAGGGCAAAAATGAAATAAGGAGGGAGGCATTTTACGATGATTCAAGGGGAAGCGCTTTACTGTTTGAAGCGAGATCGGGCTGCCTTAGAACGCGTAGTCATAAAGCAAGATTCAGTAAAGAAGAAGAACAATGCACATGCTGCGGGAAAGATAAGGAAACGGCGGAGCATGTTCTGATTGAATGTGGAGATATCCACCCAGGTGTACGTTTGGGCACGAGCCTACAGGAAGCCTTGGGTTTTAGGGACAACAATAGAAAGCTGAACACACCCGCGATTGAAATAAGTAAGAGACGGTTAGAGTATTGGTGGCAGAAAATTAGAGAGAAAGGACAAAAATAAATATGGGAAAAATAAAATATGGACAGTGTGCCGTAAATGGCAGAGAACTTAAGCTGAAAATTTACCTTTTTTTTCCATTAAGATAGAATTTATCGAAGTAGAGGCATTAGGCCAACATAAAAAAAAGAAAAAAAAGGTTTTTTTTTGTCGAGCCTGGTGGCATACTTGTCACCACCCCGTTATAAAGGGGACGCTCATAGCATCCATCCATCCATCGAGGAGACCATGCCGGCTGCAAGCGTTTGCATGCTTTACCACGTGGCGTTGCGACGGGTCAGTGTGTTTTTTGCAAGTGAATCCGTGACTCTCTCTGTGTTCGATTCTGTGCTAATGTCACTTCTAGGGTAATGGAAGCAAAGAAGGAAAAAAAAGGGATACGCATTGCTATGCACTCGGATGCAAGAGCGGGTATCCTGGTTTTCGAGAAGGAAACGGGCGCACGCTGTCTCTTTTTGTAGTGCCTAAGGACAATGAACGGCGGAAGCAATAGGACAGAAACCTTCACCGCAAGGATAAGGCACTTACCGAGACTTCAGCTGTGTGCGAGGGGCAGTTTGAGGAGCGTTTTATTTTGCGCGACTATGTGCACGTCGTCAATGGTCAGGAAGTAAGGATTCCTCGAGGTAAGCCGGCGCTGATCGACGACGCGGTCCCTACTCTCCTGCCCGATTTGCCAGCCTACCTCTCAAAGGAGACGCGTCAGCGAAGACCAGAGAGAAAACGCGTTGCTGCACAAAGAAGCTGCGTTTGTCTCAACGCGATGTTCTTGATACATCATCCCCAGATGTGGGTGCGGATGGCGACGACAGCCTGGATGGGATGGTGCCCCGGCATGATCTTCGTACGATTGTGAACACTGTGAGTGTCCCGAACGGGTGGGCGCGACTTGCTCTGGACTTTGATGGTGTTGTGTTTGCCACGACAAGTGTAAAAAAAAACCATTTGCTCTTCTTCACGAAAGAGTGCTAATGTTTGCAACGGACTGCGCAGACATAGTTACCGCCCGCCTATACTTTCGCGGAAGAGAGAAGAAGGACGTTCCAAACAGATCGGTAAAGGAAGCGGCGGAGACTTTTAGGTATTCCGATAGTGCTATTCTCTGCAAGGGTGCCATGGGCCAAGCAGATTTTGACAACAACTACAGCAAGAATATCACATGCCACCTCAAGTACTCTGTAGAGATTGTATACGGTATTGTTCTCAGCAGATCTTGCTCAGGAATAGTAAGCAAAGAAGGTAAGCACTCAGCTTGTTCTGCGACACTGTGCTATTAATTTTTTTTTCATGTGGGAAAAAGCACCCTTCAAGACGTGAAAAAAAAAGAGCTTCGCTTGTACATTGCAGTGTAATATCATGTCGCTTCATGCGTCTTCGAGGCTCATAAGTTTCAGCAAACCAGATGAATACCTTATCTTGTCATCCTTCTTATCCAAGTGAAAACTAAACGTGCAATTGAAAAATGTTGCCACGCACTTACAAGAAACTCTCCATTTGGATTCACCCTATGTCATGTGTTATTACAAATTAATAAAGGTGCCAGAAGGCAATAACAGGAAAGCCCAAGCAAAATAGGGAACTGGCTGTGAGAATAATGTTGGACCGCTACAAAAAAAAATCGAAAAATTCGCCTTGTGCTGTTCACTGATTTGTTCAATAATTTCTTACATATTGTAACAATTGTTGCGTAAAGATGGCTCTGAATATGAAAATAAAAGCCAAACTTTTTTTGCTTGAGGTGCCGTCTGTGTAGCAATCAAGAAAGTCCTGGCTCAAGACAAGAAAGCCTGTGAAGAGGAACATTACTAAGCATCTGAAGCTGGCTCGGCAAAGGACAAAGCGCTTGGCCTCACGTGCTAGCACACTGCAACAAATGGTTTCCGCAATGAAAAATGCAAATTCGAAAATCAGTGAAGACGCCCTCAAGAGCAAACTTGAAACATTGCCATCAAAACAAAAAGAGGCCGCTATGCATATGTTTGCAGCAGCTAAACGTAAAGGCATGCGGAGAATGGCATACAGCAAGAGCTGGATCCTCGAGTGTGTCATTATGAAAATGAAGGGCCCGAAACTATATGAGCGCATGCGCAAGCAAAATATTTTTACACTCCCTGCAAAATCAACGCTGAGCAATTACCTGAAGTCTTATAGTACCGGATTTGGCTTTAATCCCAAAATTTTTAAAGTCAACAAGGAAAAAACAAGCACGATGGATCATTTCAAAAGACATGGAGGGCTGCTAGTAGACGAAATGAAACTGTCAGAAAACCTAGCTGTTACTTGCGGTGCACTCATTGAAGGATTCGTTGATCTGAGCTCCTTCACACCTAAGACTGACACACTGTGTGTGACCATAAAATGGTCATTTGTTTCGTACCGTTTGTTGGGAAGTGGACGCAAGTTCTAGCCGTATTCGCCACTCATGGTAACGTGAAGAGACCTGCTAGCAAAAATTATGACAGAAGCAGTTATCTTTGCAGAAAATGCGGGATTATTTGTTGACTTCAATACTAGTGACGGCGCATCATGGAACAGGAAGATGTGGTCTCTGATGGGAATAGGAGCGACTACAACACTGACATATGCAAGGCGCAACACCCAGTTGATGCAAGCCGTTCACTTCACTTTGTGTCCGACTTTCCGCACTTAATTAAGTGCCTCAGAAATGGCCTCCTGAAGAGCAGCTTCAACACACCAGCAGGCGAGGTAAGATAGTTCAGTAGGTTTTTCCTGCATTTCATCTGTTGCAAGCAGGCCGTGTTTGTATGTCCAGAGCTGTATATTGGTTTAAAATGCAAACGGCTTGTCTTTTCTCTCTGTATATTTCGCAGGTCTCTCTTTGTCCACTACGGAAAGCACTGGAGCTTGACGGCTCTAATGTAACCCTTCAAGCCATGTCTGGAATAACAAGCAGTCACACAAACCCGAACAACTTTGAGAAAATGAGGGTTCCCTTTGCATTTCAAGTGTTTGGTGACAAGGTGCTCAATGGTCTTCGACTGTATGAGACAGAGCTGGAACGCAACTGTGGAAGCATACAACCAGTGCTCACCTTCGTTGGGTAAGTTTACGCGCAACGCTTTTTCGAAGGTACATTTATTCAGCTATGAAAAAAATCGCAGCACTACATATTCAACCATGAACTAAATCGAAAAATGCAACTTCTTGTATTTTTTTCAGAATGATACGAGACGTCATTGAAATAATGACATCCCGATTTCCAAGACAAGCCCTGCGGCCAGACTCTGCGTCGGAGGACAAGCTACTTTCGTTCTTGACGTACCTGACCGCATGGGAGCTGCATGCAGGTGGTCGAGGTGGCTTTCTTTCGGCATCTACTGCGCCTGGCCTGAGAGTCACAATTGGTAGCGTTCTGTCATTGCTGACATATCTGACAGAGAACGTTGGCTACAAGTACCTAATGACCGCCAAGCTTAGTCAGGACCCAGTGAAAAATCTGTTTGGCATAGTACGGCAATCAAGCGGTTGCAATACTCATCCAACACCCCAACAGTTTCTAATTACCGTGTCTTGTTTAAGTTTTTACGGGCTTGCCAGGTCTGTATCTAACGGCAATGCTGAACCTGGTGTTCTTACTGCCCTGCTTGAGCCAGACATGATGGGAGACCAAACACATGGAAAAAGTGACGTCATCAAATGTCTCTTTAGTGACGATGACATTCCCTCTGCAGGACATCAAAAGCAGGGCCCCGTCAAAGACCATGCCTCATGTGTTGAAGCAAAAAGTGATGACCGCCTCATTTTTTATATTTGTGGTTACGTTGCAAGGAAGTTTTTGTTGAAATCGCAGTGTGATGAATGCCACAAATTGCTTCTCACAAAAAAGGATGATGTGGATTGTCTTGCTGCTGCTCAGTACACCCGGCTGCGAGACAATGGTGGCCTACTGTACCCAACTGGATGACTTTTCAGGTTTATTCGAATATTAGAAAACCTGTTCACAGCCACATTCAGTACACAGGAGCTGCATCATGAGAGCGTGATGAATATCATTGCTCTTGTTAAGTGAAACCGCCAAGACCGCATTGGATGTGCCAGCCATGCGGAATCGTTGACAGTGAAGGTTATAGCTTTTTATGTCACCACTCGGCTGCACTTTTTTGTGAAGTCTTGAAATCGTTCCGAGAGTAACAGTCCGGAGACCTCAAGATACCCGAAGTTGAGCCGCTGTACATAAGTATGTATAATGGTATTGCGTGCTTTCTTCTGTGGAACTCTTCGCCTGCAGTATGTTTCGTGAATACGCCTCCCCCTGCCATTGATAATGTGACCTAAATAGAAGTGTCTGCAGGAGGCTCGTGCTTCTGAAATGTACGTTTATTGCATGCATTCATTCAGCAGAAAAATATTTTTTATGTTTCCAACAGGACTTTTGACTGGTGCAGCTAAACAAAGTTTATAAACACAAAGTGAAATTTCTATGCGTTCTTCTGCAGCAGCACGATGTGCATGCATCCCGATCAGATATTGCTGCAGGTAAGCGCCATGTACTACCATCGCATGTTACAGATTTTAGGGTTGCTTACATAACACCTTCCTGACAAATTTGATTAAGAGTTCGTAGCAGCGAAAAGGACAAGAGTGGTCAGAAGAGAACACACATCAGCGCTCTGTGTCTTCTCTTCTGTCCCGTCTTGTCGTTTCGCGCTGCTACACACTCTTAATCTTGTTGTACCAAGACGTCCAATCCTACTGTCTTTTAAGTGACATATTTGGCACGAGGAAAAATAAACATGACATTCTAAAACACTTCGACGATGCACTCGCTTGTGGCGACCAGCCAGGAGGAGGAATGAGCTATTAGATGCTTTCAGCTGAGCGTCGCTTACGCTCAGCCTCGCGCAGATGTAGCTCCCCGAGATGCTTCAAGGAACTGCATACATTTTGCGTTTTTCAGGAGCGCATCTTGCAGAGACGGGCTCAGCTTGGCTGCAAAACTACGGCAAACGCTCCGGTCAGTTACCTTCAAGCGGAGCGAGAGATGCGTTCTGCGTTCCACCACTCGCACGATCGTCCTGCGCACGCGCTTTACACTTCATACAACGCGCTTGTGTGTAAACGAGTATGTAAAAAAAATGCAGGAGTGGAAACTCACAAGCGCTCGCAACGCATAGGCGGCAAAGGTGGAGCCACGGAATAGGGGAGCGACCAGCCGCTGCTCGAGAAACGAGCTCGCGCGCCATCTGGCGATTTTTTATGCACGACGCATCACGCCTAGGCCGCCGCTCCGGCCACTACAGAATACTTCTAGTACACTAATTGAAAGACAATAAGAGCTCCGCGCTTTTCTCTTCTCTTTCCTCATTCAAGAACCTCTACCGCAAGGCTGCGGTGCGCGTACGCCGCTACGTTAAAGTGGCGCTCTCGGCGCCATTGATGTGTGCAGCATCCGTAAACGCCCGCCGCTCTACTGCTACTTTCGAGAGTTGTGGGAAAGCTCGCCACCTGTTAATGGAGCGCGGGCGGTTTGGGGTGGCTGAGTTCGATATATCCATTATATGTCAAACTTTTTTCGAAATAAAAAATCAATAATGCATACGATTTCCCGCGTGATATAGGAACCGTTCGATATAGGCAATAATTCGATATATATGTGTTCGATATATTAAGGTTTGACTGTAGCACCGATCCTAGCAGCGGTTTTTAACGAAGTTTTAGACATATTCTGCCGCCTTCTTTTCTGCTATCCCATACTATATCAGTTCCAAAAACTGAAGACGCAGTTAAATTACGTGAAGTGAAATCGTACAGGCCAATCAGTCTATCAAATATCGACTACAAGATTTTGATGAACGTACTAGCAAGGAGACTGCTGACAGTTATTAAAAACATTGTAGGCGACTACCAGACATGTGGAATTAAAGGGCGCACTATATTCACAAACATTCACAAGGCACGAAGTGTATTGGAGTGCTGCGATGCCACAAACAATTACATTGCGATGATCCAGATAGATTTAAAAAAAACATTTGACAGAGTACTGCACGAAATACTTTTTCTTTTGTTAGACTATGTCAATGTTGGCAAAGTAATTCGAGATACAGTTCGAATGGCATAAACTGGATGTCAAACTCGGCTAATCATCAATAAAGTTCTTGGGAAACAAATTAATGTCAGACGTTCTGTACGACAAGGCTGCCCTTTGTCTTTCCTCCTATTTTCAATTTATATAGAGCAATCTTGCCAAAAAGTCATGAAAAGCAGTAACATAGTAGGGTACAAACTACAAGAAGCTGAGGTACGAGTACTGGCATACGCAGATGGTATAGCTGTGCTTTGTAAAGATCATGATAGTATCGCTGAAACCATAAAATTTGTGAACCTTTATTGTAACGCAAGTGGCCGTTCGGTAAACTGGAGCAAGTGCGTGGGTTACTGGCACGGCGAATGGCCTGTGACTTCACAATTTGTGACTGGTATTTCATGGACTACTACTCCGGTACGATACCTAGGTGTACCTTTAGAATATTATTGTGACCGTGAACCGTACTGGCGGCGTCAGGCCGTGGAGCTACGAGAAAAAGCTGAACAACCTAACGGTATCCAGCTATCAATTTTCGCCAGAGCGACCTTTTATAACGTATTTTTAGTCAGTAAGCTCTGGTATGTCCTTCAGGTATTGCATTGTTCACGTGAGAATCAACAGAAGCTTCATCGAATATTTGCTGTTTTTTGTGAGATTCTTCTTGGGAGCGAACACGTAGAACTAACTTATTCAGGCGGGTTCGCTCTGGTGGACTTGGTCAGTGTCATTTGTACCTTCGTGAGTTAGTTAATCGGTTTATGTTTTTTCTGACATAATCGAGACCCATTCATACGTACTGTCATACAGCTTAGGCTTGCAAAACGGTTGCTAGAATTCGTGGTAGCATCTGGTCACATGACAGCAAACATTTGAGGTTTCCTAAAAAAAGTTGTTGATTCATGTCTTTTTCTAAAAACTGGTTTTTCATTGGAATACCTCAGCACGGTTTCGCGTAAAAAGTTACACAAAAATTTAGTAGAAACAGTTTTTCCTGTTCCCCTATATGGAACATTATACCGTGTAGGCCCTGGCCAAAACGTCTTAAGCCGTGTAAAAAAATGGAGGTATCACTTGAAGCGAAATCCCTTTTCTTTAAATTGCACACTGGGACCATGGCAGTGACAACATTGATGCAAGAAAAAAAAACTTATTCGTTCCTTGGGGTATTGATTGTCTTCTCTGAAAAAAGCCGGAAACAATCGAACATGTTTTCCTGGACTGCTGGGATGCAGTCTTTTTCTGGGATGTTCTCCAAAGGACATTCAAAAAGGATCTGCCTCTCGATGCCTATGGCATCAGATTCCTACCAGTATGAAATGAAGAAGGAATACCTTTCGACCTAGTTATGTTACTGGGCCTGCACGGTATATGGCAATCTAGAATGGCGGTGCGCCATGCTGATGTTAATGCACGTCCGGTTAGGCAATACTTTTTTCCATCTGTCTGATCGTTCGTGGAATCACAAAAGGTTCAACAAGAGGTGCCCGAATGGCTTCATCTAGTAGAAAGCCTTCTTACAGATGAAGGAATTTTAAAAAGCCTGCTAAGTATGATGCTTTTTGCCTCTTTTATTTGTTTCATGTTTCTCTTTTGCTTGATGTATATTTGTTTGTGAATGTTGTATGTACACAGGCAATAAAGAAAGAAAAAAAAGCCCATACCATGCTGAATGCGCCGGCTCTCGTCCGATCACCGAAGCTAAGCAGCATTGGGCTCGGTCAGTACTTGGGAGGGAGACCACCTCAGAACAGCGAGTGCTGATGGCAACTTTTTTTACTTCTCTCGAACTTTTTTTTTTTTGCACAGATGGAACAGAAAGTGGAAAAGGGTTATATTTATTCTTGCGACGTCATTGGTTGCCCGTTTCACACGAGAACATTAGCATACAATTAGCCAATTAAACTTTGATGCGTGCGCACATGGGTTTATCTGTGGCACCCAGTGCGCATGACATACTCTATTTTTCCATCTCCCTTTATCTTTTCTTTTTGTAATTTTAGCTCAGAGAAGAAAGAGGGGCATAGGGGCGTTGTTTAACTTTTCATCGTCATTCGTTCCTCGTATCATCACACGCACGCGGAAACTTTATCCTTGCGCACACGGGTTTAACTTTGACGCGCGTGCAGTTGGACTGTGCGATATCTCTAATCGGAAGAACACCGAGGGCGCATTGCACCTTCTTTTTTTTCAATCTGCCTTTATGTGTGCTTTTTTTGTTCAGAATAAAAATAGAGTGGGGGGGGGAGTTCGAGGGCGTTGTTCTACTTTTGCATGTCATTCGTTCCTCAAGAAGGAAATTAATGCGCGTAGCTTTTGGGCGAGCGATGCTCCACTGCGGACCGCTCTGACCGGCCACTAATCGGAATCATCTTTTGACCCAGGCACTGCCCGACTGATACTTCGGTGACGGATCATCTGCATATTCACCGTCGCGTACCGCTGACCACTCTGTCACCTGTTCCGCTGGTGCGTGCGCAGCTCAGCTGTTACTGGAAGCCTCTGGTTCCCGCCTACAACGCGAGGTGTCTGTGCAGTCAACGCCGGATCCTTCATAAATTGCTCTTCGCGCCAACGGCCACCACTTTTGGGCGAGCGATCCTCCACTGCGGACCGCTCTGACCGGCCACTAATCGGAATCATCTTTTGATCCAGGTAATACAGTGCGAATTATTTTCTTGAACTTGTAATTGGTACCGCAGTGTGGATCGCTCGCCCCAACCATGAAACCCACTGTCGCGTCACTTTCTGAAGAGTTCAAACAATATAAGGTTGCTGTTGATGCAAAATTGGAGAAACTTTCTGCATCACTGGACGCGCTGAAACTCGCATTGGTAGACAGCAAGTCTGTTGAAATTAAGGATCTACAGCGTGAACTAAAC